CACAAAGAGGGAAAACTGGAGGCTGGGTTCAGCCCTTGCATGTATTTGGGGTGCTCCACCTCTTATTCACTCCTCAAATGTCTGCACCAGCCGAGTGTGCCCAGGGCTGAAGCCAGGAGCAGAAAACCCAATCTAAGTCCCCCAACTTGGGAGCCATTGCCACTGCCTCCCAGGGTGGGCGCTGGCAAGAAGCTGGAGTTAGGGGCCAGAGCCGGGAGCTGAACCCAGGCGCTGGGGTCTGAGCCGGCTGAACGCCCACCCCAGTGGTGACGCTTTCGTTGTAGGGGATTGAAGACATTCTCCTCCATGACTTTTTGGAAGATGTTTCTATCCAGTACCTGAAATCTGTCCGGTTGTTCAGTAAGAAATTTAAGCTTTGGCTTCTTACTGCCGTGGAAGGATTTCCGGCTCTCTTACAGATCTCCAAGCTCAAAGGTAGGTTCAAACCAAAACCCAAACAGAAGAACTCCTCCATTCTCCCAGAATGGCTGTAGTATCTAACACTGCCCTTGGGGGATGCCTTTTGCCTGTTGCACTCCTTTCCCCCTTGTGCACTAAACAGACCAGGGTTTCTGACTTTTCCTTCAGCGTCCCTGCTAGATTCTTGGGCCGATCCATCCACACCCTTTTTACTGTTCCCCCAATGAACAACAGGGATTCTTGGCAGGTCCAAGAGATCAGAGACATGGAAAAGGTGCTGTTGAAAAGAGAGGATCTGGCCACGCCGCCAGCCAGCGCCCAACGCGTCCTTGCCCACTCTCTCTCGAGCAGGTGGACCAGGGCTGTGGCTCCAGTGGCCGTCTTACTCCTTTCTGCTTTGTGCCAAGAAAGTCGCTTTCTGTTTAGAAATCTCTCCTGTTTCCTCCACTGCCTCACACCTCCAGGACGGTCCCCAGGACATTCACTTCTTTCTAGCCTCCGCCTCACCTCTGTCTCCCTGTCGACTTCCTAAAACACTGCTCCCTTCTGTCTGGCTGCCAGGTAGAGGTCCCTGAATACAGGTTTGAGCAGTCCCTAACCCAAAAATCCAAAACTCAAAATGCCCTCAAACCCCAAACTTTTGAATGCCGACATGACACCACAAGTGGAAAACTCAGTGCTTGACTCTATAGGATAGGTTGCAGCCAAAAGGCAGGTGCACTGAAAATATTGCATAAAATTCCTTCAGCCTATGCGTACCAGGGCTATACGAAATATAATGGATTTCGTGTTTAGGCTGGGTCCGTCCCATGACCAAGATATCTCCTTATACATTTGCAAAGATTTCAAAATTGTAAAAAAGCGACATCTGAAATGCTCTCGATGGCAGACATTTCCAAGCAGGAAATGTACCGCTTCCTCCAGGCTGCCCTCCTACTCAAGGCTGCAGCTGCGTCCTCCTGTGGCCACTGTCCCAGCCCTCCATCACCCTCATCTCTTCGTGCCCCCTTCAACAGCTCAGGCCTTTAAACACCAGCCACGCCTGCGGCGAGGTTGCCACGCCAGACGGTTCTGGAAATGCCCTTTTTCCCCCTTGAGACTTGGTGAGGTTTTCCCGTCATTGCTTATAGCTCTTCCCATGCCCCCTCCCCAGCCGGCTCAGGACCACCCCTCACCAAACCAACACCAATGACTCCTTCACTTGCCGTGAGTCTTGCTCATCCACGGCTCATCCACGGCTCCACCTCAGGCCCCCTCTGTCTCTCTCTCCCTAGGGACCCCCCCATCCACCAGTGTTTCCCAGCTGTGTGAGACTGGTGGTCCCCAAAAAGCCTTTTGTTGCCTGTGTTCTCTGTGCTTGGAACACTTCCACACACCCCCACTCTGCTGGCTTACTCCTGCCTATGTGTGAGAGCCCAGATTAAATGTCACCTCCTCAGAGAAGCCCTCCCTGATGCCACCCTCCAGCCAGGCCTCTCCCTTCCCAGAAGTCCCTGCTTTCTCTCCCCTGTGCTTTCACGTTGCAGGAGGAGCACAGAGGTCAGTGTTGCGTTGTTTGCCAGACTAGGGACATTCAGGAGGACAGCAATCCTCTACGCTTTCGCTTTTCTTCTTTCCTTTTCTTGTGATAATTTTATAAGGAGATGGAAAAGTTAAGGGTTCCTGGGGGAAATTCCTAAATCACTTTGAGCATCTTAGACTGTTCAGGCTGCTGCTACAGCAAAACCCCGTCATGTACCCTAAGATGGTATGCCGGTCAGTGGCAGACCACTGTACAACAGGGGTCCCCTGAGATTCTCCTGGGGTGCAGGAGTAGCACCCTGATTTGCGTAAGCACTCGATGTGATGCTCCCAGAATGATGAATTCACACAGTGAACGTTCATCAGCGTGATGTGTGACCATGCCATGAGTTGGGGAGCTTCTAGAAATTTTATGTATTTATTTTTAAAAGATTTATTTAATTTGAAAGTCAGAGTTACACAGAGAAGGAGAGGCAGATAGAGGTCTTCCATCTACTTGTTCACTCCCCAATTGGCCGCGACAGCCGAAGCTGTGCTGATCCGAAGCCAAGAGCCAGGCGCTTCCTCCAGGTCTCCCACGCGGGTGCAGGGGCCCAAGGACTTGAGCCATCTTCTGTTGCTTTCCCAGGCCTTGGCAGAGAGCTGGATCGGAAATGGAGTAGCTGGGACTTGAACCGGCGCCCATATGGGATGCCAGCGATGCAGGCTGGGGCTTTAACCGGCTATACCACAGCGCCAGCCCCCTAGAAATTTTTAAAAAGAGAAGGAAAAAGAAAAAAGGCAAAAGCTTCCCACCATTTAGGAGTTTATGAAGTTCGATGCCAAGGCGCCAGCAGATTCCGGGTCTGCTAAGAGAAATATGGGCGCGTTTCTCAGTTGTATGTCAGCTTTTTGGTTTGTCCTCACGGAGTGGAAGGAGCCAGGGGTCTCTCGGGGTGTCTTTCATGAGAGCACTAATCTCATAAGCAGGGCTCGCAAAGGCACTTTGAGGGTGGGGATTGAGCGCAGGAACTTAGAGTGGGGGTGGGGGCATCTAAGTGCACCCCGGGCAGATGCTGGGGCTGTTTCCCTGGCACTTGGGGACTTTAGGTCCGGTGGCCCCTGCCAGATCTCCCAGCACTTGGGAAGGGTCAGGGGCCAGGGAAGGGAAAGGAAGGGGAGGGTACACATGAGGCAGCAGTGCCTCCCCCACTCAGCCACGTGCGCCTCCTCCCCACCTGTCACGGGAGAACCCGAGCTGACGGTATCAGTAACGGCTGCGTGTGTTGCGCTTCACAGAAGTCACTGTGTTTGTCAAAAGACTCAGAAGAAAGACGTACCTTTCCAACATGGCTAAGGTAGGCAGCGGCCCACTGGACGGAGCGGGGGGGGGGGGGGGCAAGCCATCTCCTGCAGTGGAAGCAGAAAGCCGCAAGTGTCCCCTAGGGTCAGGCCGTCACTTCTGCAGGGAGGCCATTTCCACACACCCAGCAAGCAGAGGGCAAAAGACAAGGGAACAGTGTTGGCCCCTGGCTGGGAAGGCCTGGTGGGCACATGACGCTCAGCCAGAACCCACCCCCCAAAAAGGCTCCAGACACCTCAGCTCTCCCTGTGTGGGAGGGAAAGAGGATCGACAATGGAGGTGCTGGTGGGAGGTGCCACGTGGTAGCAACCTGGACCAGCTGGTGCGCAGGGCTTCAGAGCAGAGTCCAGGACCGATGGACAGACCGACAGACGCTCCCCGCCCCCACCCAACGTGGGACCCTGTAGCTCAGTGAGTCCAGGCCGTCAGGCTGCTCGCCCCGGTCTCTCTCACTCCCCAGGTGACAGGGTCAGAGGGAGCTGTAGCAGAGCTGAGCAGATGACCCGGCTGGCCCTCTGCATCTCTGGGTGCCTCCTTGAAGGTCCAGCCAACCACAGATGGGAAATTGTTCTACAGTGGCTGCCTCTGTAGTGAGCGTGCGCAGACTTTTTCTTGTGCTTGCTCCCTAAAGGCTGCAATAGACCAGCAACCGACACAACATTTACACCATGCTAAGTAGCTAAGTGGTTTTGAGTACACGGGAGGATGTGCATAGGCCATAGGCCAATACCGTGCCATTTTATATAGGGACTTGAGCGTCCTCAGAGTCTGGTGTCCTGGGAGGGGGTCCTAGACACCAGGGACTCGGCATGTGGCCCACCGGGAATCTGCCGTGGCGCCCTGTGGGTGGAAGATGGGGACAGAGGGTGGGGCCTGTCCTGCTCCCGGGGGTCTCTGCTCTACAGGAGCCCTCCCTGTCCTGCTTGCACACTGGGGCTGCTTGAGTGCTCTTGGCCCGTCCCGTTCTCCAGCACAGTCATGGCAGTCTGGCCATAGCCCTACCGCAAGCCCTTCATGTCAGCCCAGCCACAGCCAGTTCTGTCTCTAAACTTACCAGCCCTTGGGACTGTTTACTTGACCCCCTGCATGACCTCAGTTTCCTGCTCTGTGAAATGGGGGTGGTCACAGTGTAGGGATGAGCAGGTGCTCATCCTACACAGTCCGCCCATGTAAAGGATGAGACCGCGTCCCCACTGGACAGCAGAGGAAGTCACTCGTGGAGGCTGCGTTCATTGCCCCCAGGCGCCCAGCAGGAAGGGGCAGAATCATTTCACAATCCCCAAAGCCATGCCTCAGACCCAAGGTCAAGGCTCTACCCACCCTTTGCTCTGGGACAATCAGCCCCTTCTCAATGCCTCTCTCGAGTACCTTGGACTAATTGAGTGGGATGCAGAGAATGGGAAACAGCCCTGGACATCCTGCCTGGGACCAAAGCCTTCAAATTGCTGGTCTCCAGCAAGGCAGTTCTACAGTGGGTGGACCGTTAATGCTCTCTCTGTCATTTAAGAGTCAATGCAAGTGGCTGATACCCACTTTACTTTCTCTTCCGTAACAAAACGTCTCGGCTATTTGGAGAGGCAAGGTTGGCAAGATTTTGTGAAGTGCCATGCTTCCTCTTTGTCTCTCTGTCTTCAGACTATGAGAATGGTGTTGAAAAACAGCAGGAGGGCCAACGTTCTGAAGTCGGATCTGCGTGCCATCTTCAGTCAAGGTGCTTTGGATATTTCCGCGAAGGCCCTGGCAGGTGACCTGAGCCCCGCGGCGGACCTGGAGAGCCACACGGAGATGCAATGTAATCTTCCTCCCGCAGCTTTCCTTACCGCACTGTTGGGCGTGCACCTGGGGCGAGCATCAGCCTCGTGAATCTGTGAATTTCCCAAGACAGAGTAAACACCGTTGACTCTTGGATGTTCAAGTGCACCTGCACACACGTCTCTTCCTGCAGGGAGTAGGGAATACCTCAGGGAACACCTTGTGCTTCCAGACTTTCAAGAGAGGGAAGGGACGTCCGTGCTGATCCCAGGCCCTTCAAAAAGTTCATGGAAAAATGGAACTAAAAGATAAGCTTACTTTGGTGCAAAAAAAAATAAATTATGCATATGAGGGATCTGCAGTGGAATGCATGCTCTGGAAAACTGTGCGTGGGTTTCAAAAATTCTTGGCACCAAAATAAACATCTTTTTGTTTATTTGAGACAGAAGGACAGTGACGGAGAGAGACAGAGACCTCTCATCTGCTGGTTCACTCCCAGAATGCCTGGGAGCCGGGAATTCAGTCACGGTTTCCCACGTGGGTAGCAAGGACCCAAGTACCTGAGCCGTTACCTGCCGCCTCCCAGAATGCACCTCACCAGGAAGCTGGAAGGAGGAGTGGAGCTGAGACGCAAACTCGCACACACTGACAGGAGCTGTGCCGAACGACAGCCCCTAAGCCTCTCTTTTAATTCCATTTTTCCACAAACTTTTTCAAGTACCCTCATACACATTTGTTGACTAAAAGAATGAACACTTGGCAATATTTCCTTGGGAGGAAAAACTTTAATTTCTGCATTGGTCTCGTGCATGCAGAGAATAAGGTGTCCTTGGTCACATCTGAATTGGATGGAGGCACCTCTCTGCTTGGCCACATTCTGCTGTCACCACTGTCGGCAGCATCCAGTTTATTTCTAATAACAGGAAACAACGATGGTGCTTCTTACCTTATTTCCCCACTACAAACGAGGTAGGAAGCCTGCGGCTGTTCCCTGATAACTGGAATTGGTTTCCAAGAACAACAGCTCCTTTCCATGAAGAGTTGATTGCTGGCTGGCACCTGTTTCCTCCTGGGGGGGGGGGGGGGGCAGAGGAGGTGACAGAAGAAACCCCGTGGACTCAGCAGGGACCTGCAGGCTGTTTCCAGAGGCCCAGGCCCATAGGCCAGAGCTCTAGGAAAGATTTCTTGAGTAGGTGGATACAGGAATCCAGCAAGACATAAAACACCCCAACCTCTTTCTTTGATCTTGAAGTAGGACTGACCTTGGTAGGCTTGTAATAGTTACTAAAATACTGAACTACGTCCATACTTGTTGGTAACTAGCCTGGCCAACCCACTCCCCACCATGTCCTTTGGTTGTGTCCCCTGCCGCTCTTGCCCTGGCTGACCCAAATGACAGATCCTCCTCTAAGGCACCCCCTTCCCACCAACCCAGCAACTAAAGTGTTAACACGAAACACAACAGGCTTCAGAGCTGATTGGTAGGAGCGCAAAAGGCCCTGCTCCCACAGGCCACTGGCACCCCCTGCTGAGCCCATGGAGCACCCGGGAGGGCTTGCGGGCACCCAGGCACCTGTCAGGCCGCCCACCAGCCTGGCCCGGGCTCCCACGCTCCTGCTGACTTCCCTGTGTGTCCCTCCGAGCGGCTGCAGAGCTTGGCAGATGCTGTGGAGGCTCAGCAGGCCTATGCATCCATGGGGTCAGGGTCCCCTGACCGAGCCTCACCTGGGCCGCAGCCGCTTCCTCCGTTTTCTACGCCCAACCAGCGGCACTCAGAAAGGTGAGAAGTCCAAAGCCCAGTCCTCTCGCCCAGTGCCACCTACACAGGTGGAGAATCCAAGATCTGATGTCACACACCACCGCCGACGGGGCTCCACCTGACTTGAGTGCGTATCCCCCAGGCAAGGTGCTCACCGCCTTTGATGTCCCGCGTCACTCCCCGCACGTTAATGCACCAGCCCTTTTGTGAAAATGTCAAGCCCAGGTGAGGTCATGTCTGTGTGGAGAATGAGCTCATCCTGAAAACAGGGTCTGTGTAATTACAAGGTGGAGGTAGGAGTTGGAGACAGCGCTTTGCATTTCTGCAGGTGGCAGAGGTATGACCAATGACTGTACACTAAGTGACCGCAAGAGTGACAAGTCCAGCCTTGGAACCCAGCCTTTGTGTGCAGAATGAGCGTGAGGCTTGGGGAATCCTTTTGAAATATTGGTCAGACTTTGTTCCCTAGGTTGCCTAGGACACAAACGCCTGCAGACACATTCTGCTAGGGTGCCTGACACCTTTCTCTCTGTTCCCTTTGCTTTCTTTGTAGGTTTAAGCAGTTTAATTTCTTTGCTGGGAACGTCAACAGATCTCAGTGTATTCCTCAACTGTCTGTCTTCAAATCTCCAGGCATTTGTCTTCCAGGTACTAACCTGAGGTTTTTCTTTTTAAAGGAAAGAAGTGGGTGTGGATCATTCTAGCTAAATTACAGCCCCAAATGCCCATGACTTGGCGGTATGAGAAAGAGGTTTCTCCAGCTCTGCTGAGAAAATGTGCCAAAGCTGGCAGGAGTGTGAGGACAGAGGAGCGGCCTCTGCCTTCGGGAACCAGGCAGAGGACCAGAGAGCAGAACAGTCACACGATGCGTGTGTGTGGGCTAGATGATGTGTGTGTGTCGGCGGGGGCTGGGGTACCAGTGTGTGTCTCAGTCCATGGTCTCTCTCTCTCTCTCTCTCTCTCTTTTTTTTTTTTTTTTTTTTGACAGGCAGAGTGGATAGTGAGAGAGAGAGAGAGAGAGAGGAAGGTCTTCCTTTGCCGTTGGTTCACCCTCCAATGGCTGCCGCGGCCGGCGCACTGCGGCCGGCACACCGTGCTGATCCGATGACAGGAGCCAGGTGCTTCTCCTGGTCTCCCATGGGGTGCAGGGCCCAAGCACTTGGGCCATCCTCCACTGCACTCCCTGGCCACAGCAGAGAGCTGGCCTGGAAGAGGGACAACCAGGACAGAATCCAGCGCCCCGACCGGGACTAGAACCCGGTGTGCCGGCGCCGCAAGGCGGAGGATTAGCCTAGTGAGCCGCAGCGCCGGCCATCTCTCTCTTTTTTTAAAAAGATTTATTTATTTGAAAGTCAGAGTTACACAGAGAGAGAAGTAGAGAGAGAGAGAGAGAGAGAGAGAGGTCTTCTATCTGCTGGTTCACTCCCCACTTGGCTACAATGGCCGGAGCTGCACCCATCTGAAGCCAGGAGCCAGGAGCTTCTTCCAGGTCTCCCACGTGGGTGCAGGGGCCCAAGGACTTGGGCCATCTTCCACTGCTTTCCCAGGCCACAGCAGAGAGCTGGATCGGAAGTGGAGCAGCCGGGACTCGAACTGGCACTCATATGGGATGCTGTCACTGCAGGAGGCAGCTTTACCTGCTAAGCCACAGCGCTGGCCCCTTATGGTCTCTTGCAGTAACTGAATATCAGTAGCTGATAAAGAATTTTACATCTAGCTAAAATATAAAAGCAAAAGAAATGCGCGTGTGTATCAGTTTTGCTGCAAATACAGTGTCTTGTCGAAGTATGTTTTAGGCTTTGTCAGGTTAATGGGCATCCCGCTCCAGTTGTAATGATTTTGTGACTATTGTTAAATGTATAGGAGTGAGGCCGGCGCCGCGGCTCACTCCTCCGCCTTGTGGCGCTGGCACACCGGGTTCTAGTCCCGGTCGGGGTGCCGGATTCTGTCCCGGTTGCCCCTCTTCCAGGCCAGCTCTCTCTCTCTGCTGTGGCCAGGGAGTGCAGTGGAGGATGGCCCAAGTGCTTGGGCCCTGCACCCCATGGGAGACCAGGAGAAGCACCTGGCTCCTGCCATCGGATCAGCGCGGTGCGCTGGCCACAGAGCGCCGGCTGCGGTAGCCATTGGAGGGTGAACCAATGGAAAAGGAAGACCTTTCTCTCTGTCTCTCTCTCTCACTGTCCACTCTGCCTGTCGAGAAAAAAAAATGTATAGGAGTGAAGCTGAACATCTTCCCATATTGTTATTATGTATAGCCCTGGCCTATTTTGCAGCTGGACTCTGGTTTTTTGGAATTCTTTAAATAAAGAGTTAGTTTAAATAAAGAAGTAAATAAATAGTAGAAGCCAATAAATCTCTGGCTTTCATGTAAATTAAAAATACATTATCTCAAAAAATAAAATATTAAGTTGGGGAAAAGTAAAAAAATAAAAAGGGAAAGAAAGAAAACTTTACCTGTGGCTGTTCTGGGGGCTTGGAAGCCCCCAGCAAAGGGGCGGCCCCTGGTGAGAGCCATCTTGCCTCCTTGCAGGGTCTGAAGGCAGATCTCGTGGGTCAGAGAGGGGTCACCTAGAACAGAGTCACTCTCTCCATGATCAGTTAGTCCCAAAGCCCATAAATGAAGTGACCCATTCGCATCCCAGAGACCCTCCCTCCAAGAGCCAAGACCCTCTGACCTTGGGGATTCAGTTTGCAATGCCTGGATTCCGAGGGTGCACATTCAAACCATAGCAGCAAGTGATGGGGGGGTGAGAAGGAAAGACAGTGAGTGTACATGTCTCTGCACATGCATGTGTGTGAGCATGCCTGTGCCGTGTGTGTGCCCCAAGCAGCAGTGTGAAGGAGGTGTGTTGGGTTAGGGGGAGCCTTGTCTGTGTGGGGACAGATGGGGGAGCCTTGTCTGGGTATCAGGCAGATGCGTCCCAGTGCGGTGGCCAGCTTGACTTCCAAATCTCAAAGATGAGTTGGTCGTGGATATGGTCTTTCTGGCCGGCTTGCCTCTAGAGAGAGTCACTGTAGCAGGGTCCTGGGCTGGAGTTGATTGCCTTTGTCATCCTTACGGCAGAAGATCTGAGAATGTCTCCAGGGGAAGCCGCAGTCACTAGCTCCGGTGGGCTCAGGGCGGGCTCGGGGATTAAACCGGGATGGAAACAGAAGTCAGGACGGAAGCCAGGCAGCTCCAGGCCCTCTTCTTGTGACAGTGACATCAGGCTCCCCAAGGCTGAGCAGGTTGGGAAAGGCCTGGGGGGAGGGGCTGGGGGGAGGGGTGGGAGTGGGGGGGTCCACCTGGGATGCCCAAGGTGCAGAAGATTACAACAAGCTGAGAGGGGAGACAAGAACCTAAGGACAAGGATGACAAGAGCAGAAGTCAGCCTGTGGGGAAACTGGGGTAAAAAGCAACAGAGGGCTCCAGGCAAGGAGCAGAGGGGCCAGGGACCCAGGACCAGGAACTTGGCCCTGGGCGTTCTTTAAGCCTCAGTCCCGCCCACCTGCCTTGTCTGAATCCCTGACCTGTCAGTGGAGAAGAGCAGGCAGAAATGAAAACCAGGCCCATCCACAAAGACTGCAGGAGCTTAGGGATCTTAAACCTCCTGGACATGAACCAGGAGACCTCTCAGCAAGGAGCTGGAGAGCCGGCCCCAGCTATCAGCAGGTGTCTGCCCCCGTTCTTTGGAAAATGAGCATTGCAGACTCTCTGGTCTTTATTCTGCCTTGGGGGTCTCAGGCAGAGCCTATTTAGAACAGAACTGTTAAAATGCAAACCCTGGGACTTTGTCAGAGGTGACTCATGTCCTCATTGTCCGCAGCTGCCCGGCTTGCTCACGTGTTTCTCTCTCACTGTTCGGGTGCAGTTGGGCCTGAAGAGTGATTTGTAGCAGAGGAACAAGACGTGCCCCTGGTGCTGGGGATAGGCAGAGTGCTCAGTGGTCTTTATGACCGGGGACCAAACGTGTGTGTGGAGAGAGCTCCGATCCCCCAGCCTCATTTCCCTCCATGGTTTCAGAAAGCATCCCAGTGGTTTCTGTAGTCATTGGCCCTTCACCTTAACGCCCCCCACACCTCCGTTGAATGGGAGAAGCCCCTCCCAAGAGGGTAAAAAAAAGTGGGGCGAAGGTGCTGCCTCTGATAACCCTGCAGGGCGTTGGGGATTTTGAAAGGGGCAAAGTGGAGGGTAAGTAATGATGAGAAAGGGAATTTTTGTCACTTCTGGCCAGTTTCTCCACCTCCTCTTCAAAGGTTTGCAGAGTGGGCATCGGACAGAGCAGTTAACATGCCACTTGGCCGCTGGTGCCGTGGCTCACTAGGCTAATCCTCCACCTTGCAGCGCCGGATTCTAGTCCCGGTCGGGGCGCCGGATTCTGTCCCAGTTGCCCCTCTTCCAGGCCAGCTCTCTGCTGTGGCCCAGGAGTGCAGTGGAGGATGGCCCAAGTCCTTGGGCCCTGCACCCCGTGGGAGAACAGGAGAAGCACCTGGCTCCTGGCTTCAGATCAGGGCGATGCGCCAGCCGCAGTGCACTGGCCACGGCGGCCATTGGAGGGTGAACCAACAGCAAAAGGAAGACCTTTCTCTCTGTCTCTCTCTCTCTCACTGTCCACTCTGCCTGTCACAAAAAAAAAAAAAAGCCACTTGGGGGGGCCATGTCCCACATGGCAGTGTCTGGGTTCAAGGCCAGGGTCCACTCCCAATTCCAGCTTCCTGCTGATGCTCACCCTGGGAGGCAGTTGGGTCCCTCCCACGCACACCGGAGACTCGAAGGGAGTCCCCAGCTTCAGGCATCCCTGGCTGCCCGGTGGCATTTGGGGTCAGTCCGCCAGTGGGAGATCTCTTTGTCCCTCTCTGTATGCCTTTCTGCCTTTCAAATAAATAAAGTAAGTCAGTGAAATTGTAAAAAGAAAAGACACGTGGCTGCAAGCCAATGAGAGGTCCTGCATTTTCATGGTGACATCTGCGTTCCAAAAAACCTACGGCTCCGTGGTTTGTGGCTCACTTCAAGTGTGGCTCAAGGCAGCTTTCTATCTCGATTGAGAGAATGTCTTAGTCCGCCTGCGGCAGCCTCTTGCTGGTACCCCATTCTGTGCCACTCGGACCATCAGATGACCTTGGCTCACTGGACCCAAGGGCAGAGATCTGCTGGTCCCAGGGTTGTGCACACCGCACAGCAGCCAGCTTTGCCCTTCCCCACACAACGCGCCTGACTCCTGACTGTCAGGAGAATGGCTGCCCCTTTTCCACATCAGACTCAGCATGCAGAAGTTCAAGTAGAAAACAGCCACCCCAGCTGATGTCAGTGTGGCTGCCCCTGTATTGCCTTCATGCACCTGGTTAAAGAAAGCCTTTAGGTAAAAATCAGTCTAGCAGAGTTTGAGCAAAGAACGATCCATGAGTTGGGCAGCCCTCGGAACCAGGAGAGGCTAGGGAGCTTCGTTCTGCAACTTTGGCAGGGAGGATTTACGGACAGGAAAAGGCTAAAGAAAGCAGAAACAAGGACCTAAAAACAAATTGTTTTCAAAATCACTTTCCGCGTAAAGGTTAATGCAGAAGGGATCT